CGACGCAACTGCAGCAACTACTGTCGTGTCTATTCTATGCGCTGCGCCATAATAGTGCGGAAAATACGGTCGCGACTGAATACACTTTTGTATGATTTTCTACTTTATTGACATGTCGCTATAGAAACAGAAATGGGATCTCCACCCCCCCCCACCCCCCACGGTGAGGCGAGTTCTATACGGCGCCATTTCTGACGCGTTGGCTCCCACGATGTGCATCAATCTTAATCTGTCAAGCGACATGACACGGTGTACGCGACCTTGCAGGGAAACGCTCGTGTTTACCCCCGTAATGCTCCTTGCGAGTCTACACACCATGAAAAAAAAAAAAGTGACAAAAGCCGCCTCCGCCGACACCTTCTCTAATTACATTTGTGGAAATTTATCACCATGGTAACCGCAACCTCGTTTTTGAATGGCGCCGACGCGTGCAATCTGCGCACAGTCTGCTTTTTGAAACGCAACGGAGGTCAACAGGTAACGGGGAAAGAATCTCATTAATTACGCTTCCTTTTCACAAGACAAGGTCCCGGTGCTTTTTTTCTCTCGTGTCGATTGTGATCGGGGAGCTTCAATGTTCAGTTCGAGTGCACAAAGCTCGTTTGGGTATGGAAAGTCAATCATTCAACCATCTATCATGTGGATTTTTTTTTTTCCTGTTGCATGCATGAGGTGATAAGAGTCGCTAAATATGACAGTAGGTTGTTAAGCTTTCCGTTCTGGCAGGGGGAGATTCTAAACTTAATAGGTGGCCAATTGAGACACGCAAACTATAAAGTTACTTTATCGCAGAATGTTACCATAGGACACTATACAAAAGACGAAACTGAATTTAAAGATTAACTATGACATCATTTGTCACCAGAGTACAAGCAAAAACTTGAATCCGGAACATTGCATGCCGAGGCAGACGTAGTAACCACTACGCCACCGTGCTGCCGTGACAAGGCACCGCCATGTCAATTAATTCCCCCCAAAAATGGGTGTCTTGTTAACATGACACTTGGGACTCCTAAATGTGCTCCACAAACTTTTTTTGGGGGTAAGAATCATACTTTAAATTGTAGCACTGTAGTTGAATTCACTGGAAAAAAAATGGTGATTTAAATTGCAGATTTGTAAGGAATCTCAAGAACAAAACTGGAGTACGTGGCCAAAACAAGATCAACAGCAGGTACGTTTCTGCCTCATCTATGGGGTGTAATGGGCTGCAAAGGGGCGGGGGGGGGCAGGCTATGTTGATGTCGTCATGTTGAAGTAGAACATGGACATGACTTCCACGCAGCCAAGAAGCCAGGATTTATGGACGGGTGCCATCTGTTAGCACGGGATACGCTGCGCAACTACCAAGGAGTCAGAGTGACTTTTGTCTCACACACACACACACACACACACACACACACACACACACACACACACACACACACACACACACAGATAAGATGGATACTAGTGACGAGCTCATGCGGGCTCATATGAACGATAGATGGGGCCATGCGGAGAAAAGAGCTGATCTTCTTACAGCTACTCACTGACCTGAATGTACCCTAACACACACACACACACACACACACATTGAAACGATCTGCAAACACATGCAGCATCTCAAAGCTCAAAGCAGCTGGCAACCATTTATTTACCTCAGTGACAGGTTCAGCCTGTCTAAATGGAGCGCTTTCTCCGGACTCAAAACACCCACACACACACACACACTCATAAAACATAACCCAACATTGCCACACGTTACTATTTCACCTCTCACTCAGTTTCTTGTCGCACCCCCCCCCATGCACACACACTGCTGCACTGAAGCGGACGATAAACGCAAAAAAAAAAAAAATTTGACCCTGTGAGCAGCACGTGACGGATTCCACCTCTGGACTTTTTCAGGCAAACGTCCCGCAAGACTCCTGAAAAAAAACACGACGATGCAAACCGATGCAACTTTTGAGCGGCGCGGCGGGCGAAAATGCTGGACAGACCAATGCTGCAACTTAAGTTGGTTCTTTGTTTTGGAATGTACGAAAATTGAAACTAATGCATCATAACAGAAAAATCAAGCGAGGAAATGACAAAATTAATTCTGTAGCCCCCCTACAGAATTGGCTTTGACATTTCCTTGAGCGCAGCTCCAACAGAACGATCAGATGTCAGTAAAATGGAGGAGACTGGACGGTCTCGGAAGTGTTTATTCATTCTTTGTCGTGTCTGTATTCACAAACGAGGAAATCCCAAAATAAATTCTGTAGGGGGGGCTAGAGAATTTATTTTGTGATTTGCTTGGTTTTCTGTTTTGATGCATTATTTTCAATGTTCGACGTTTCATTGAAGGAATCATTAATTTACGTTTTTCGGAGGCAGCCATGAACGCCTCTCGAGTCGAACGGAAGTAGGCACGGAGAGACGGTCAAAGACTGGACCAACAGCAAGTTAGAACATTGGAAGCATGTCTCCAGCAAGGAGTCATTTTGGGGTCGACATATTACAGGACACAAGGCGCACCGGATTTTAAGGCGCGCTGTGAGCTTTTAAAAAAAAAATGGAAGCCTTTTCGGTGCGCCTTATAGTGCGGAAAATACGGTAAGAATTGTTAAAAAATAAAAACGACTACTTCACATATTTCGCTTGTCACGGGTTCTTTTTTGGAACGTAGCCACCGCGATAAACTGGGGGAGTTACTGTATATTAACATGTTATAAAATACTGCCACGAATACGATAAAAACATGCCGAGGGAGTGCTGAACTGTGGTATATCTTTTCCGTGTAATTACTGCGCATACTGTAGTATTTGTGTATTGTATATGTGCCTTTAGGGGTGTGGGGGGGGGGGCGAACTGAAAAACACTGGCGGTTAGGCGCACTGTGAAAGGTTACGCGACTGCGTCAACACACTTTGCCGCCCCACAAAGACACGAATACCTGAACACACACACACACACACACACACACA